AGAAGAAAAAAAGATAAAAAATTTTTTTTTTTTTTTTTTTTTTTTTTACTATAGAAAAACTAGATTCTTCATCCAAATGAAATTTGAGAATGACAGCCCTACAAAAGTATGGGGCCACTGGCTCATAAGGCTTACCACCATCTAATTCTTTCTTTCAGAGTGAAAGGAATGGACACAATTATCTCAGTGTTAGAAATGCAGCTTGAGATGCCTCTATATTCTGTTAACTTCTAAAGTTATCTTAAAAGTGAGCTGGGAAGTTAAGATGTTGTTATTAAAAGAGATTTAAATCCATGATTTTGTTTTCATCATTACCTTGAACTAAAATTTACCCCCAAAAATCGAAGGGCAAAAATCCTATAGCAACCAGGGGATAAAGTTACAGTCATGTTGATACCTACTCAAGTAAATCTTTAACAAATAATAAGGACAGAATCCAGATTCCTTGCCAAATGATCAATCTCAGCATAGCATTAAGTTGTCATCAAAGTTTGAACTGGCTCTTATTCAAAGCAATATGAGAACTGGGTTCTCCAAATGCAAAAGCCACCTCAGCTAGCTTCAACATGAAAGTTGTCAAACTGTGCAAACTCAAACGAGCGTGTTCCAATAGCAGCCCAGCCATTACTTGGTTTAGAAACGGTGACATTCTCCCAGAGTGGATAACCATTTAACAGTCCTGAGGCAGAAGTGCCCTGTCAAAAAAAGGAAAAAGTTAGCTTTGTAAAATCCAGTGATTGTGTTGACACTGAGCCTACTCACATGGGAGAAGAGACAAGGCAGAAAGATGTCAAGTCAACTTTCAAGTACATTTTACACATTTTCCATGCAGAGGCGCTTCTAAATACTGCATAAAATCCTCCAGTGCCTATCAGCTCTGTGAAACAGATCTAATGCCTTTACAGTGAATATGTAAAAGGCTCATCTTCCACTAACTCACAGCTTTGCAAACTCAGTGTAGAATCTGAAGGGTAAACTAGTTTTCCTCTTCCACTTGTGTCAGGCTCCCTCAAACAGCCCAACTTGTCTTAAGGGGATATGATACACCTGGCACTGATTCTGCAGAATTAAGCAAAAGTCAAAGAGAGAGAGAGGTGTATTTCAGTCATTAAGCTGAGAGGAAGAGGGGACAGCAGAACTTTCAAGTACCACGTTGCCATTAGAATTAAAAACAGTTTCAGAAACAGTTACAATTTATCTTGCCAGGGTACCACTAAACAGCATTTAGAAAAAAAGTGCTTCAGTTTACTTGTATTTCTTAATCTGAAAGACCATTACAGACACAAGTAAAAGCAAAGAATGCCTTTCAAGGAGTCAGCATGAGAATTCTTTAAAGAGGGCTCTGCACTTCTGCCATTACATCAAAGGCATATTTGGTACAAAATACTTTAACAGCACAGATAAAAGTTTGTAGCATCATCATTTTAAAATTACCACCACTGTTTCGTGTTTTACACGATTTATGTTCATCTTCAGCACCCCATTCAGGTCTTGGCCCATTTTACAGATGGCAATCACTGTCGTAAGTGTGGGTAAAAGCCAAAACTAAACTACGTCCGTTCCAGTGAATGCCTTAGGTACAAACGTCCCTTTGTCTCCCAGTGTGAAAGCACAAAAGACAAAAAACAGCTTCTAATACTCACTGACATTTTAGCATGAGGGAAAGACTCAGTGCATAATTTTAAAAGAGAGTTTGTTTCAGCAGAAGATCTCCCCAGCTAGGATTCAAGCTTCCCCACATTTCAGGACACATTGCAGTTGCAAAGGTTACATTAGGCAAAGGGATTAGGCATTCAGAAGAGGAACTTAAAGCCTTTTAGTACTTGCACCAATGTCACACACAGCTAAGTGCCCAGGTATATTTAAACTAGAGCTTGAGGCTACTGTGCTCACCAAGTGACTATGGCCAAAAGGGGTGGGGAGTGAGAGGGAAGGAAAAAAATGTAGACAGGCTTTTCATTAACTGTGGCCCATTTTTACAGCAACACTATGCCCATGCTTTGTCAGTATAGGAAAGAAGGATGGCAGCTCATCTGATTTCCCCAGTCCTTAACTAGCACTACATACAAGGCCTTAGCATGCAAAGGGAATTGGTGGGAGCCAGATTTGTAAAACAGGCTAGTTTAGTAGTTTACTGACAGTCTTCAGAACAGGAAGTCAGGTCATGATCTTTTCATTAGATTAAACAAAAGATTTGCCTCTCTAGCCCTCCTATCTCCAGCTTTCAGCTCATCTTTCCAGTAATTTTCTATACCCTCTCCAGTTTCTCAAGATCTCTTTAAAAATACAGGCAGCAGAACTTGGTAAGGTATTTTAATATTGATTTAAAATAACAGAGATACTATGTTTTAGATAGGGCAAACTAATGCAAGCAGACTGTCAACAGTATAGCATAGTTTTGTCTAAACCATTTATGACTGGAAGTTTCGTAACTGGTTTTCTAGCTTTTTGCCTGTGTCCTTACCTGAATGTTAAGAGTAAGTGTGTGCCACGTATTGTCCCGTACACCAGAAAGTCCCTTCATTAATATTTCTTCTCCGGCTGCAAAACATGCTTAAGGTTAGCAAAGTAGTACTTCTCCCCTTTGCTGAGACTGATAAATACCAAGCCAGCAAAAGGAAAATAATACCTATTTTTTCAGAATGTTCAGGACTGACATCTTGCCAATTTCAACTGCAGCATGGAAGGCTTAACACACAAACTTGGACTCTACATTATCAGTGCATTCTCCTGTTTTGCCAAGACCGTTTTCCCACTAAAATCGCCAATGCTCTTGGGAATTTGCCCTGAGATAAGGATTCCCTCTATTGAGAGCATGGGTTCATGAAGTGTGACAGTAGCTATTGCTCTGCTTGTTCAATAGATCTCCTTGTTTATGTATCGGTACGTTTTTAAATCAGAGGGTTTGAGTTGCCACATCATCTTTTTACTTAGTTCTAATCAAAATTTAAGCTAAGCAAAAATGGGGTGTGACTGACACCTGGATGGAAGACCTGAAAAAAATTAAGTGCTACAAGTAGAATCTTCAATTATTCAGTAGATAGTTTTAGCTGCAAGTTAATTTAATATTCAGGCTCCCTTCTAGAAAAATATAAAGATCACTAAAAATAGCTGTACAGAAAAAGATTATCACATTGTGTAACAAGTGTCTCAGTCTGAAATAATGAGGTGGTAAATTAAAATCCTCTCATTTCATCTAGGAAAAAATATTTTTGACAGCCTGAGAACCTAATTGGGCAATGTTGTTATGTCTTATTAAAAATAAATACTGGAGTCGATCCTAAACATGAGTAAGTTTTTACATACAGCTGAAACGTAAGTTGTTATGGAGTTAGACATTGCAAAGTTTCGCTAGGGAGCACCAGTATGTTAAGAGAAGCTAATGTAAAGTCTTCTTCACACTACCCACCCATGGTAAAAAAGGAAAGGAAAAAAAAAAACCACAAAAAAACAACATGAGGAGAAATGAGAAACTACAGCTACCAAATAGAAGACGAGACTATTTTTAAGGTCCAGTACAGTGTGAAACGGGCCATTATAGGCTGTCTTCATATCAGATACACTGTAGATCTAGAAGTTGCATTTGACTCATCAGAAACTATTGAAAATTTAAATTTATACTCATGAAGTGATAGGAAATGCATTTAAACAACAAAACCTGTCACTATTTCAAAGCAAATTAAAAAGAACTTTTAGCTATTGATGAAGTATTATGACATACACTCTTTTACGTGCCTGTCAAATACTCTATAGATGAACACATATGAATGTTAGCATCACAAGTAGAATGTGCTCTCACTCCACTGAGCTAGACTAACAGTAGGATGCATAATTTGTGGAAACAGTAGGCCAATCATCATCACCTAAGCCAAATGTATGTACATTGACTTGCACTGCTCTACAAGACAGGGCACTGCATCTCAAGCAGAATTTTCTTTTTAGGTGTAGTATAAGAATACAGATCAAACCTTTCTATAATTAACATTGTATCAGAGTATTTATGGAAAGCAAAATAATTTACATTTGCTAGTGTAAAATAGGTTTTGTCAGCAGAAAAAAATAAAATCCAGAAAGCTGAGACTGAGAAGCGCACCAGCAAGTAGCCTTCAGATGCTGTCTTCACATAGAAAATGTGGCCATCATTAGAGCACAATGTGTTAAATTCATAGTGATGACAACTGAATTACAAAATCTGAATGTTAGTCATTTTTATCAAGGCTATCAAAATCATGTGTCCATATGTCAGCATCTACTTTAGCGAAGAGCTGCTTACCTAGATCACCAGTGACTCTGTAGGTGCCATCTGCAAAAACCCAGAAGAAAACTCCTTTGGTACGTCGAACATATATCCCACCATTGTCAACTCTTCCTGCAATAAAGACGCCCCCATCACGTTGTTTTTCTATGTAGATGTCACAAGTGACCGTCATGTTTACCCTATAAGAGAAGTTTAGTGTTTTAACAAGCAAGGAATCGATCTTTTTGAGCAGGCAATAGGTAGAAGAATATTCCCTATATAGTACAGCAACCTTTTTGAGGAAAGATTTAGCAATCCTAATTGTGACCTACAGGTGTGAGATGCACGGGACTTGTCTAGAGTGGTTGTTTCCCACCTGTGAGTCCACAGATTTTCTTAGGAAGAGTAATTCTTCCCAGAAACCAAGAACAAAACAAAGTGTATTGTCAGCAACTTTCAATTAATTATTTTAAAAAAACCCTGAAAACCACCAAACAGAAGGTTTGCATCTACACAGAAAAACTATCAGGTCTGCAAAACGAAAAGTTGCTTTTAGATAACTAAAACAAATCCAAGATTCAAGGTCATAGCACCACATCTGCTAAAATTTGATCTTCATTTCTCTAGGATTTTTAATACAGGCCAAATCTTAAGTAATCCATACCTCTTGCCCAAAAGCCAAAACAAACTTTTTTTAAACAAAATGTTCAAAGAGGTTGAAATTATGTGATTTTTCGGAGGTGATACTTCAGCTCAACAGTAAAGGACCATGTTATACATATAATGACAGCTGTAAAGGAGAATAAAGGAGAATAAAGCAAAGGAATACCAGAACAATCAATGGCACCCAGAAAATTTACACAACTTCCCCCACTCTGAAGTTGCGCTACAAGTCTCTTAACAATAAAAATTAAAAGCATTCTACTAATGTACATTCAAATTTAAAATCTACATCCCATGTCAGAAAGGACTTGCAATACGGATACAGCCACAAGGTCGCATATTTAGGAAGTTTCTAATTATCTATAATTATTTACAGAATGTGAAAAGACTCTCTGTCATCAGCTCAAGCTGATAACTAAATCATAAAGAATACTTATTTTAGCAACTCTTCTCCCCACCTTTTACATAATAGTAAGAACGACCTGAGATTTCATTCTAGTGTAATGCTATTAGAAGTATCAGATTCTTGGATACATATTCATTACACAAACAAGATTTCTTTCTTGCCTCCTTATGTATTAAACAAGAGACTCCCACATCTCGCTGAAGCCATTATAAAGATATTGGAAGCAATGTAGAATGAGTTAAATAGTAATATTTTCAGTATACAACTAGGTTCAATAAAACCATCAGAGCAAAACACTAACATCCAGGAGTAGAAACAAAAAGCTTTCACAAGCACAAGATTAAAATCCAAACTAAAACCAACTAGATAATCCTAAAATTTAATCATAATAAATTGCCATTGATGACTGAAGTCAAATATCATTCCATAGAGAAATTCATTGCAAGATTGGTTCAGTATTTCAACAGCACGCACTAATGGTTGAAAACATCTATCTAGGACAAGATGAACCTTAAACTGAGGATGAAGCAAACAAATCAGAGGGCCTGAAATTGAAGATTAACATTATGAAAAGTTACAGATCAGTAAAACTTGAATAATCAGCTGAATATTCAGGAAGCAAGCTTGGTTCTGAAGACAAGATGAAAATTCAGAAAAAAATGGAACAAATATGAAATAATAGGAAGTTTTTAGGAATCTCAGTACAGTAATTTAAGACTTTAAGAATACACATCCTGTGTAGCTATTATAGGGGTCACTGAATATGACCTACTCAATGAGGGAAAGTTGATTATAGGGGAAATATGAGACTTTGCTTAACAGAGGGCTGCGGAAGAAAACATCAGATAACTGAAGAACAACTTCCAGCTACAAGATGGTGATATTCTTCTAGGCTTCAGAGCAAAGTGATTCAATCAGTTGTCCAGGCCAGAAATTAGAAGTGTGAAGCATGTTCTAAAAAAGCATTTGAGGGACCAATGATCCCATCAAAGTGAAAAAAAACCTGACAGAATGGCTATTTTAAAAAAACATATCAAAAAAATTTAAGCTAGACTTCCAAATAGAAGAAAAAGTTTTAAGTGTAAAGTTTATTATTACTCACTATTACTAAACCAATTAGTTAACAGGCTCTTTCCCAAATGCTTTTTCATTTTAAATAAACATTATGCTAAAATATGCTACTTGATTCCAAATTACCATCATTATAGCTCCTAGAAAGAATTGCAATCATAACCATATTCTTATCAAACCAGTAAAGCTCAGTTACATTTACCCAGAAATAAAACTGTTTTAAGTAGCAGTTGAATCAAATCCACACAATTCTAGGAACTGCTCAGAAGATGGCAGTCTGCAACAAATATAACTGAATTAACTCCCACACTATTTCATTGATATGAGATTGATCAAATCGCTAACAATCAAGCAAGACAACTCAAAATAAATTAAACTGAATCGATTTTTTTGTCCCATTTAAAAACGTATTGAAACTCAGCGCACACTTTGAATTAGGATTATGACTTGGTCTTTCTAATATGCCAACTCAGATCCCTTATTCTGAAAAATGAGCTTGAACAAATATGCCCAGCAGGACATTAGGAAAAGAAATTTCCAGGACAGTGCAGCAGTGGGCCAAGCTACCAAGAGATGTGGTGGACTCTCCATCCTTGAATGTTTTTAAGACTCATTTAGACAAAGACACAGTTGATCTCTTAGATTTGGCAATAGCCCTGAGCAGGGCTCAATGACTTTTGGAAGTCCCTTTAAGTCATCATTTCTACATGTCTACAGAGAGTCTGAATGCAAAAGCCCTCTGTCCAAGAGAAATGAGGCTTGAGACAGATTAACTGATCATAACTCACACTGGTAAGGAGGATGTTTCCCCAGATGTCACTAGAAAATAGTGTTTACATACCACTGAAAATTTCCTATGAGACTGATGGTCTGGTCTGCATCAGAAGCCCAAGTGATGGGTCGCTGAACCACTACCTGGCGGAGTGTGAACACATGATCTCCTGGGTCAGAACTATTTATGAAGTATTCAAATACACCTGTCTGATCTGCAAAATTTGGGGCTTCACTGAAAGGTGGATTACCTGTTCAGAAAATAAAATACATATCAACACCAAAACATTATTTTTCTTCTGTGTATTTGTGTTTTCAGAAATTTCCTCTGAAAATATTCTCCAGAATTTTTACTTACTTTATCAAAGCGCAGTCTCCAAAACTGAAGTTTTGGGAGTTGGAAGGTGATTTTAGTTTTGGTTTTGTTTTTAAGCAGACGCCAGTTTTTGCAGACACATGAACAAAGTAAATTACCTTCTTCTCTATCTTCCTTCCAAAAACTAGTTCACTATAGTTATAAGCTATATCATTTGCATCAAGAATTTTAAAACTGTTAGCGATTACCCAGTGAAGACACAGAATTAAGTACACCTCATTGCAAGTGAAGTATACAAGTGTAAGTTGTTGGAGAAGCAGGTATAAATAAACAAAAATAAAACACACATTCATATCGCTTACATTAGAGGACTCAAACAACATAATTGTTATTGCCTTTCTACATTAAGACTATATGTGTGTGAATTAAGTTTTTGGATAAGAGAGTTCTGACTTACGGATATTGAAATCATCTTTGTAATTTGAAGGAAAGGGCTGAGGTGGTGGAGGCTCTGGGCAACCACATTTCTGGCCTGTCTTGAGTGTGGTTAAAGTGTAGACTTCATCCACATTTAGATATAAAGAAAAACTTCCCTTCCACACCTGGAATTAAAGAAAGCTCAAGCTGCAAAAATCAAACAACTAAATAACAAAATACTCAAGTTCCTGAATTAAAGGAGATCCTCTTAAGTCTGATTTAAGGCAAAAATCCTGTCTTCTTGCCTCAGCATTTAATATCTCCAAGCTATTTTGAAAACCCCTTTCCTCCTAACTCTTTATTACCTCCAGGTAAGCTTGTATATAGCTAGTAAAACTGTAGTCAAACAGAGCTAATAAAACATGCCCTAATTATGCAGTTTAGGCATGAAAGTCCAGGAGTTCCAGCAAAGGGGGAAGAAACACCTGAAATTGCAGACAGACTGTAATTAAAACTGATCAACTTACCTTTACAGGATGGAGTTGCTGGAAAAGACTAGAGTTTCCCGATTCAAACCCAAGTCTAGAATGCCACACTTGAAGGGTTTGCACCATATACTACAACGAAACACAATACAAAATTAAAAAAAAAAAAAAAAAAGAAATCCACAAGAAACCTTGAATATTCACCTTGAGAAATATCAGTCCTCTAAGTGTGTCTAATTTTTGTTATTTTAGAGCTGTTGATCACATTACAGGCCACCACTCTATTCAACTAGCCATTACATATGGCTTATCTTTTTATAGATTATACGTCAATAAGCCATTGTCCTAACATGCAGTAACGTTGCTTATAAAGACAGAAAGCATTGCAACCACACATGCAATCTTTAGCTTCTCTATTACCTACAACAGTATCCCTTTGATACAAGCTCTCTGCCTAGGAGCAACCAGGCTGAAACAATCTCCTGCTAATTTTGCTTTAATGAGATCTTCAGTTTAGTTGCTGGTTCTTTGATGTTCATTTCTGAGCAAAGTACTTCGCTTACAGATCTCCAAACTTCTGCTATACTATGGCATATCATTAGTTACAGATTTTAATCATATCCAACCCCTACTTTTTTTTTTTTTTTAGTTACCCAGATGAACAACAAAGGAAGCAACCTAGAGTCTGGTTTGGATAAGCTGTCTGATACTTCCCCCAAAGGGAGCTGTATATGAGAAGTGACGCTCAACTACTTTTCCTAAGCAAAGCATTTTATCACCAAAAGTACTGTCCAAACTATCTCCTCCTAAATAAAAGGAAACTAATGCCACCAAAAAATCAAATTCCAAATAAGTAAACACTTTCAGCTTCTGAGAAGCAATCATCCAAATCTACTAATAAAGATTCACTCCAGTTTACACTGTGAAAGTATTGTTCACATTTCAGAGGGAAATTCAGTTTAGCGAGATTTTTAAAAAAAAAAAAACAAAAAAAAAAAAACACACAACAAAAAAACACCACACAACCACACACCACCACAATTGGGAGATTCTCAGAATATCTCTTCACAGGATGGAGCAACATAACCTACAGTATACAATCAACTGCAGTTACTTCCCTGGAAAGGAGCTGATAACAACTAGAAAGGTCACGGCCATGCTGGCCAGTCAAACTATGTCAGCATGTCAGAGCACCCAGCCTTGGAATAAATCCTAAAGAAAAATCCAATTGCATTTCTGTTCTGGGGAATTTCTTCTTCAATATACAGATGATTAGACTGGGAGGTAGTAATTCTATTAATTCAGTTCTGACATTACATCTCATGGTAAAAGCAGAACAAGAATGCTTAAAACTTTGCCAGGTGTGCAACAGCCTCTAGTATTGGAGGTAAAGAACTCCAATTTCTTGCTAACCTGTGATATTGTCTTGCATGTATTTGATTATGGATAGCAATTCATTTTACAAGACTGATCAAATGTATTCAAGATCTACTTACAAATGACCCTTTGAGGTAGAAAGTTGCTTTCTGAGGTGTCACACTGAAATGAGGCAGTAGAGGCCTGATACATTGAGAGTGATTATGAGTCTGAAGAAAAAAATAAATGTAACAGAAGGAACGTGCATTACTGGAATGTATCGCATGGCAATGTTCATGAAACACATACAATATAAACTGAAATTAAAAAAGCAACATAGGATCAATTTGCAACTATTTATTTCACTGTCATCATAACGATAACTGCAATTATACTAGCTTAATAATTTTATTTTGAATACTGCTTAAAAAAAAAGCACGATTTAGTTTCCTCCCAGAGTGTGTCATCAAATTAAAGCTAATTTGTGATATAAAGATGACATACACATTGGTCTCCAGGAAGATTCAACTAGCTATTCAAAGTTTAGATAGAAAAAAGGACCTCTAGTGGTCTCACTAACAAAGCTACAAGCATCAAAGAACATATTCATAGATACTGAACTACATAAATAAAACCAGGTTCTTCATAACAAAACATTTCCTTTGTCTTTTCTAGTTCATTAGAATTGCTGATGCACATACCATAGTTTCAATGATGATGGTAAGGTTTCCTAGGCCATCTGTCAGAGCTACAAAACTACCACCTCCTTCTAACTGTCCATCTACTTGCAAGTATGACCAGCCTGGCTGAGTAAACTGCGTTGTGTGTGCTGAGACAAAACAGAACAAAAATCAGAAGAAAATAATTAAGTCTTGATAAAAAAATAACACCATTTGTAGTCTGAATTAAATTTCTCACACACGCTTACACAACAAAAACTTCATTTGGGAAGAAAGTAATGGAACTTCCAAAACAAATTCTACCTATACAAGAAAAATTAAAGAATTACACTAAGGCACAATTAAAAACATCAGCTCTGTGGCAGATGAAACAGTTAAAATGATAACGATTATTTAGACAGGAAGAAAAAATTATTGTACCACTATATAAGTCAATCATGTATATGCAATATGAACATTCATCACAGTTTAGATTTTGCCAAATCTTTTTTTTTTTTTTTCTTTTTTTAAATAAACAGTTGAGCCAGAGAAAGCATAGATGGGCATCTCCATGAGGAATAACTAAGTAAGTTTTTCAGTATATAAGAGAGAGTACCAAAGAAGAATATGACCTAGACCACGAAAATCCTGAGCAACATGGAAACAGGAACAATTGCTCAGTTGTTTTGAACTGTTCATATGACAGTAAGGCCATTTTTTTTTTTTAATGCTTTTACATATACAGGTAACTAGCAGAAGAATAAAAATGAAGGCATTTGCCTTGTTCCTCCTTTATGGCATTGCATATGCTACTTGCTCTACTGAACTGTGGCAAAGACAGTAAAATATTACAGAAGGACTACAAGAGTAGCCAGTGAATCCATGTGTCAATAGACACTATGTGAACATACTCCCCTTTCCCCAAGCACAAGGAAATGCTAACTTACACAAGCCAAGAATCTCAAGCAGGACAAGAATACAGAGGTTCTTTGTTCCATTTTCTCAAATTGAGAGGTATCAAATGTCTTCTTAAGGATTAAAAAAAGAAGAGGGAAAGGAACTAGGAAAGCACACTAATCTTTATGGGCATTTCAGATCAAAATATTTTAATAGTAACAGCTATAAAAGGCAGTAGTTTATTCATTTCCGCTGTATCTAACGGTCAAGTATTAAGATTTCCCGTGCTATTAGATCTTTCTGCTTTCTATTGAAGGGAGCTTTTTTTTTTTCCCTCCTTCTTTTTTAAAGTATTCACAAAGCTTTCCACAAAACTACTTTATTTTGGTACAAAAAGTAATACATATAAAAAACACTAAACTACTAAAGGCTTCAGAAAATACAGTTATGCTCTGTGTTAGATTACCAAACTTTTAACTGCAAACTTTTTACCTGTAATCCAGATAGGAGCTTCTACTTTGTAGTGGCCACTCCACGGCTCTTGCGCTGTCATTAATCCACATCGACCAAAGGGCAACTCTTCATAATAACTAGCCACCAAGTTCCATGCAATGGTTCTCCTACTAAAGGCTTCAGAAAATACAGTTATGCTCTGTGTTAGATTACCAAACTTTTAACTGCAAACTTTTTACCTGTAATCCAGATAGGAGCTTCTACTTTGTAGTGGCCACTCCACGGCTCTTGCGCTGTCATTAATCCACATCGACCAAAGGGCAACTCTTCATAATAACTAGCCACCAAGTTCCATGCAATGGTTCTGGAATAAAAACAGGTTTGTTTGCTCCTTTCATATGGATAGTATTAGATTAATTTAGTACAACAATTTATTCCTCTTTTTTCTCCAGCATACAATGAAAAGAAGTTTAAGGCAAAAAAAAAAAAAAAAATCATTCCAGCTAAAGGAGAAAAAACACAGGAGAGGAAAATAAAACAAATTAAATTCCAGTGTTGAGAACTTCTTACAAAACTGATACATTCTCTGGCTATATCACCATAAAAAGTTGCACATCAAAGGAAATGTGTACTGAGGGTTAAAGACTCCATTTGTATTTTTTTTTCCTGTTTTGAAGGGGAAAAAATTAAGCTTTACACCTTTTTGTTAGGGTGTTGTTTTGGGGGTTTTTGGGTGGTTGGTTGCTGCTGGTGATGATGGTAGGTTTTTTTGGGGGAAGGGGTTTGGGGGAGCAATTTAGTACCACTAAAAAAAATAATCCTTCCTTTATCCATATAAATAACAGATAAAACAACTCTAACCAGCCATCCTCCAGGAGTTGTCGCTATTTCAAGAAGTTGTCAGGATACTGACAAGGTTAATTACTTCAGGTCTTTTGATTTGGTCTTCACTGAAAATCTTTTGCTAGGACTTTAAACTTAAGACCTGTGTGCCGTAAGTATGGAAATACAGCTTAATAAAGCAGTTATGTAGAAAGCAAAAGCTGGCATGCTGTTCTGCTATTGCATATAGATGAGTGCAAAGGCCTCATTCTAAAGTCATTGCCATAGATTTATCACACTATAAATGCATTTCAGAAGAGATCCTGAAATCCTACAAAAAGGTGCTCATAAACAACTCCTGAGTTATAAACTCAACTTGCTCACATTAAACTTGTTCTGCAGAGTTTCAAACTTAGAAGAGGAATGTAGGGAATTCAAGTTCAAAGGAAACGACCTTAGCAGAAAGACAAGCTGCCTTTCATCAGGAAGACTCTGTTTTCAATATAAAAACCAAGATAACTTCAATATTGGATACATGGACTTGGAACTATCCTACAATAATTTCTAAACACAATACATAGGTCTGGCTGTCAGGTTGCTAAACAAATGGGGCATATATAATTACAAAGTGCCTGTAAAAAAGAAAAACAATGGCAAAAGAAAGACCTCAAAGTAAGATATTAAAGCATATGAGAGTCAAGAGGCAACCAGAATGGTCAGGAATTCACGTAGGAAACATTCATCTGTTAGAAAACTTCAGCTTGCAGAGAAGGAGACAGAAGATTCATAGAAACCAGGTGACCCAAGAAACTTCCCTTTACAGGTATCTAAGTGCTTTGTGCTGTGCTCCATTTCAAGCATTTCAGACAAAAAGATTTCTCTTTATTATTCCAAAATGAAGTTATATAAAAACTAAAAGCTTTGAACAATTTTGCTTACATCTTGATGCCTACATTTTCTTTAATCAGACTTCTCACCCCCGCCCCCCTCAGATTAGTAGTTGTTGCACTGGAAACATCAAAGTATGTTTTCTAGTCTCTTCTAAAACTGCGAGTTATGTAATTTCCCAGTAAATAGAAGAGCTTTCTTCCAGATTTCAGTTTCGAAAGAAAACGTGCAGGAAACAGGAAACATATCAAAAGACTACAGCATGTTTTAGAATGGACTCTGAGAAAGAAGTTGTATGGAAAAACTAGATAATTACATCCGTACCTACTACTTTTAACTGAAGACAAACCACCTGATAAAGACCTTAAGAAAAATACAGATAAATTAGCTTTATTGTTATTTTCCTCCAATGGTTTTCATGTTGGTAGCCCTTCTTAAGAACATTCTCTTTTTGACAAATATCATCAGAGTCTCAAAGGCATCTGAACTCAGCTGCATAAGCCATTGGATACTGTGGAACAGTAACTCAAGAATACATTAAAACTTGTGGGACTTCTACCACAGAAAGAGGTAAGGACAGTAGACTTCATACCTTACTACATTTGCATTCAGACTGACAGTGGAGTTTCAGTTTACCTACTGTCTTACCATAGCAAATGGATGTGTTACATAGTACTTTAAACAATTCTTACATATGAAGTTGTGAAAGCGAGCAACAGTGCACAACACTTACGAGGTCATGTTTCCATTCACGTAGTTTTGGTTCAGGATCCGAGCCCAGCAGCCTGCACCTACTTCATCATTGAAAGTACTGTAATCTTCTGAAGACCACAGTTTCTTCTTAGTTAATAAGGCATTCGGCACTGTTTTTGTTCCAGGATAGTGAGCCCTACACAATATTTTAAAAAGAAAGAGCACTTAGCACAAAAAGAAAAATCAAAGCCTGGAAGTACATACAGCAGCAATGATTCACCTCCTCCAAACTGAAAAACAAAACTTTCTTGGAATAATACTAATGGAATAGAAAAAAATGGAACCAGAAAGAGCTATAATATTCCCTAGCTTATTATCTTTGCATCAGTAGAAGATTACTTCTTCTGATACATGCCAGCATATAAGTTAACCTAGCTTTAAATATATCATGCAATTTCTGCAGCTTGCTAAAGCAAAGCTTTATCCTGAAATTGAGCTTGAAGATTTTCATAACTGTAATGCGCTAAATAGAGAAAATACATGCTACCTTGTACTATCTTAAACAAAACCGTAAATCATTATAAAATCAACAGTAAGATACAGTACTAGGCACTATTCTAAGAACTTAACTGCATGAATGTCTTAGGACCTAAACATGAACTTGGCTAATTTTGCACACCTTTTTAATAAACTCAGGTTTCAAAAAGGCATGCTAGTTGGATTATAAAAGTTACAGAGATGTAAACTGAAAATAGTTGAAACATGTAATGGAAGCTAATTTTCTTTCCAAGATCTTCCTTAGTATGAGGAGCAATGCTTTCTCCCAAATTAAGACTACTGATTATACTCAATCACAACATTGATTCACTGTGCCAAATTAGTCTGACCAAAATAAAACCTTTCAAATCACGTGCAGAAAACAGGGTCATGATTTTGCCCTCATTTAGCACACTCATTGAACACACTAAATACATATACTAAAATGAAACTATCAGCACTGGGAATGAAGGCATAAATATTTCCTTTACTATTAGCCTGAAACGTGACAAATTGATACATTTGTGACAGGGACACAAGAAATACCAGTTTTTCTAGGCTGACTGTTGGGTTCTTTTCATTATTTTCCCCCTAGTGGACAATGGGCCATTTCCCAGTGTTGTAGTCCTTCATACACAGCTTCGCTAATGATAGCGTAACAGATAGTAAAGATTTTAGCTACATCCTTCTCTGCTGTACAGATTACTGTATATTTCCCCTTTGGTTTGGAAACACAAGTATTACCTTAATACCCAGCAAAGGTTTTTGTAATGGCATAAAGTGTGTAGCTTGCAAAGACAAGGCAAAGAAGGAATAATTTGTCTTTCTACACTCCATATCCTGAAAAGCTGTTTCTTAGATATTAAGAGTCAACATCCCTTCCAAATACAAGCTGTATTTTTCAAAAAGAGAAAGAAAAAAAAAAAGCAGGGGCGTGTTAGAGAGCTTTACGTAAGATTACACAGGAACAAAATCTATAGAGCTGTGATTTCCTGCACTAAGACAGAGGGTCGCCTTTATTTGCATAAGAGGGAAGAGAAATAATTCAATGCAAAGACACTAAAGCTATGGAAATAAATTGGAAAAAATCGGGATGATAAACAGGATTAAAGCTACAGGGAGAACAAACAGGTTCTAGAGGCAGACTCCTTCAGTGTATCTTTACTGGCAGCTTTGCTCCACTTAAAGCCCACACACTTATAACATCCTCACTTTGTCCCACTGATATGCAATCGGGTAAAACAGTTTCACCACCAGTTGAGAAATTAATCATTTTTCTCTGTTCTTAGATGCAATTTCTGTTACTGTTAATGAACACAATTTACACTGTATTTGCTTTTCACTTACACTGATGTTAACCAAGGGGTTTTGGTTTACTTTCATTAACTAAATTAGTCCTTAAAAAGTAGGACATGACTAAGGAGTGTGTAACTCCTATTCCATATAAAAACTTTCTTTAAAAAAAAAAAAAAGTACACCAATCTTTCTTTTTTAAACTTTTAATAGCACTGTAGAGTGTATACTTTAAAAAGACCCACCCAAATGCACAAAATAAACATTTGCTGTCAGATTACAGTGAAGGCTTTCACACCCAGTATGTGCTGGATTTGTTGAACTCTATGTGATTTATATTTAAAGAAAACACTAGATAATGCTACAGCCCTCTTTTAGATGTCTTGCACCACTCTACAGCCTCAACAACTAACACAAGGTGTGCAGCAAAGGACAGGAGATTAGCTGTGTCCAAAACAGCATGTTCTGCTCCTTCAGTTGTGAAAACAATCTTTTTACTTCAATGGAAATGAAAAAGCCTACAAAGGAGCGACTTATACTCCAATTACTCTCAGGAAATAATTGGTCCACGCAAGGACCACTACCATTTGGAAAGACTTGAGTATCCTGATTAATGTTTCAGGAAAAACCACAAACTCCTAAACACCTACCCTTCTTGCTGCCTGAAAAGATGAACTGGAGTAGAGTTTATGCATCATTCTTATAAATGTGATGCTTCAGCAGAGGCAGCAGGATTTTGGATTCTTTGCTCAAAAGAGCAGAGAGTCAGACACACTGTAACAGAAGACCATTGCAAAGAGAGAGGAAAAAAAGTGATGTATATCATGAAAGGGGGGAAAAAGAATGGATCTTGGTGGAGAAAAGGTAACGAAAGGAATAGTAGGAACAGAATTACAACAGAAGTGACACATAAGTTTAAACCTCTTATCACTGCAAGAGAAGATTTTACCAACAGCCTTTACTATCAGTGTTTGCATTCTTCAAACCACTGTCATTTACTAAAAAAGTATTTTCATTGTTCCCTCCTTCTTTCAATCTCTCTGGAACCAGCAGATGGTTGGTTCATCATCAGGGCCTCTAGCTGTTAGAGTGGTAACAATGTATTTTTAAAATATTAATTATTATGAGATTAAGTGTGTTTTACACAGCAGATGATGAAGCAATATAACTCCAACGGGAAAAAAAAAAATCCACAGTTGCCTGTGTAGGGAAGCCAATCAGATCTATTAAGAAAGTAACACTATTTAAGAAAAGCTCTTCTACTTATGGATTGCAAATGCTGCTTCGCACAATTGCCCACAGTGACTTCATTTGGATAACTTAGTTAAAAAAACAAACAAACAAAAAAACTTTGTGTTATTTTTTGTTTTGCATATAGCAATGGCCCAAAGGGGAGGAAGGGGAAAAAAAATCAGGATAGAAATAGCAGGGGTTTCCACCATTTTTTCTCTCACGCGTCAGTACAAGGCTGTAGAAACTAAATTAAAAGATCAGCCTATATAATATCATCACTACAATGAAGCTTTGCAGAAACACACTGCCTACGAAAACCTAAAATCTAGTTCTCAAAAACATCTCTAGAAAACAGAAATCATCAGCTAACACCACTGTCTTTCCTACTGCTCATGCCATATCAGCACACAGGCCTGGGAGGGACTCAGGACAGTTTGAATTCCTACTACTACAGGCACCACATCATGATTCCATCATGCAGTAATGTCACAATATCATCTTGTTTTCCTTAGGTTGTTAACTTGGGCATAATTAGCTCTAACAAATTTCTTTAAAAGGCTTGGTTTTCTGCGACACATTCAGCAAAATGTGTGTTTAGAACAGATCTGGTTAAGAACACTGGTGCTTCTAACCAAAAAGACCTAATGGCATACTAAAGTTACATTAGGTGAAAATGAAAGTTGTTACTCCTAAACTCACTGACACTTTCTAAACACTTCCTGTTTACTTTCAATTAACAGCAGGAAGGCGGTGGGGGGAGAGGGAGGTGGAATTTTCAACATGTAGAGTCAGAATAGCTTGGTCTCTACCTCTATAGCATGTAAAAATGTAACTGGTTTAACTGTGTTACAAACAAGTAGCACATCTAAAGCACTCATATGAGTAGCTGTGGAATTTGCAAGCCCATCCTTGAAAAACATTGTTTTCAAGAGCTACAATGTAATTTAAATGTGTTCAAAGTAGGAGTAATACTCCTTTATAATTCATTATATTTCATTTCACTGGTAAAATTGATGCAACCATAATAGCTCTGAAAAGCTGTTTGGAAATATCATATTATAAAGAGCTTTGGTGACCTGGGTCATTCCTATGTGGGTGAACATCTATTAATAGTTTTACATTGTGTCTTCAGGGCTCCCTGTAATTTCTAGCCACTACAGTATCTTGCAGATGAAGCCTGGATGCAAATAGTGCAAAATAAAACAAAAGCAGCAGCTTTAACTAATCTCCCATCCAGCTTGTCTGATGAGAGACCTCACAGATCACAAATTACGTTACCAAGTCCAAAACTGATTTTATGTACCTTCATACTGGCTACAGGAAATATTTTTTATAGTTTCAAAAAAAAAAAAAAAAACAAGCCAACTTTTTTTTTTTTTTTCATGATGAGATGTGCACCACTAAATGTCCAGTAGCCAACTGATTATCCATTACACAAGAGTATTTCATCTCCCTGTTAAGATTGAATCAGAGTAGGGACATAAAACTTAGACTTGCAAAGAGTTAAGCAACTACAGCTTACTGAGACAGTGTAAAAACAGTTGAGCTTCAGGAACTGACTCTGGGTGCATACTTGTAGCTGCCAAAACACAGAAGGGAAGCATGCTCACTACATTGGGATCATGGTAATTACAGTGGATTTGCATCTGGTCAGAGTGAGTTTACAATTGCTTCCACTTGTTGATCCACACATGATCCAAGACTCCACTTGCAAAAAACTGTCAGGATACTTTTTGTTGTTCAGAATGGGGGGAGAGATTGACTGGGGTGGGGGCACTGACTGCCTATCTGTATTTGGAGGGAAAGCCTTCATTTCTACACCTCCTATGTGTCAGACATATAAAGACGAATGAAAAAGGCACAAGTAGAAGCAAGGAACAGCCACATTTGAAGCATGTGATTGGGTCAGGCAAGTTTATGGAAGCTAATAATTAAAATTTAGAGCTACTGTAAAAAGAAAAGTTGATGAGCAAGTCTTACACACATTTCCATTCAGCAGACAAGTCAGTAATCAATCTCAAATTTAGTCTACTACTTTTGCAAAATATTACCATCATATGATGAAACCCAGAACGAGAAAAACAAGTCAGCTGGTTGCATGCTTTCCAAACACAACCTTCCCATCAAAACAAA